GAAGCGTTTTCCGTGGCGTGGCCTCAAACATCACTCTTCGTCATGCCCCTGTGAAATATCAGATTTTTTGCTCTTCTAGATAAATATAGAAACCTGAGATGTACACTACTCGAGTCCCTATAAAAATGCCTCGCGATGGTGTATAACATAGCGAAGAATTCCCCAACTTCTCTCTTCTTGTAACCTCGGCATGTCAGTTGTAAGTTTAACAAATTTTCTTGTGCCTTACGAGGTTGTTCGGTGGAACTTTTATTAATGGCCTAACGTTTCGACTGAATCGTCGTCTTCAGAGGCCGTCGGTTCCACCCTTTCGAGCGGAAAAGTCCGCTGCCACACAGAGCGCTGATCAGTTAGAACGAACCCCTGAAGACGACGATTCAGTCGAAACGTTAGGCCATTAATAAAAGTTCCACCGAACAACCTCGTAAGGCACAAGAAAATTTGTTAAACTTACAACTGACATGCCGAGGTTACAAGAAGAGAGAAGTTGGAGAATTCTTCGCTATGTTATACACCATTCGCGAGGCATTTTTATGGGGAATCGACTGGTGCACATCTCAGGTTTCTATGTTCATCTGGAAGAGCAAAAAATCTGATCATTTCACAAGGGCATGACGAGGAGTGATGTTTGGGGCCACACCACGGAAAACGCTCACCTGCGACCAAGTTTCCATATAATTACAGACAAGTGACCGTAGTCTACGACAGTGAAGGAAATTGTTCGCTATCTTCACAGCTTTCTGCAAAACATCTCCTCTGAAAATGGAAAATGTCACATAATAGGCCCACTATGCCTGCTGAGAACTGTTCAAAGATTCCACTTGATATAGAGATGGGATATTGAGAGCAGAGGGAACACGTAAAGCCAGTAAGCGCTTAAAAACGAAATGAAGATCTAAGAATTCGGAAAATAACATTCATCTAATCTCACAATGTAGTGGATGAGATTGAGTACGTGGCGCATTCTGGGGTAAGTTTTGAGGCCCTTCTTTGTGTGTAGCGGTCAGCCCGCATAAGCGGGATTATATACACATCACATGCGAGCAACTACTTTTTGAGATGAAAATCGAGTGCATGGCGCAATCCAATATGGTGCCGCTAGAAAATTTCAAAGCATTCTTATAGAACTCGACGAGCTGAATTCAATGATGTTTTCAGATTTTGAAAAGCTCAATTTTGAACCGAGTTATAACAAAAAGACAAAAAACGCAAAATCGCGTTTTTCGCGTGAATTTTTGAGTTTTCACGGCGAGTACCGTTGCTGGCGCTCATAGGGCGTTACCAGCGGCAGGCTAAGGGTCCGGAAACCAGCTCGCCATCATTCAATTTGAGCGTACCACTCGATGGAGACGTGAAGGGGATGTTAACGACAACGTATTTGCTACGGTACCGTTGTCGTTATCGATCTGTTCTCATTTCAAACTAAGAGGTGCATATCAAGCAGATCTCATCTCATCCAGTCGTATTAAACCTAGCTTGAGATCACCCTTTTCAAAAGTCTGTTCCACCTCACTATTACTTTTATTTTGAACCCTTTCTACCATTACGTGTGGTCAGCGCAGGCGCTGCATTTAGTATAACGCTTTTTTTTGAAGCTGATGAAAGTTGAAGTTTCTTTACTACTATCAGGCTCCATCAAAATTAATGGCCTTCAAAAAGCTCTACCTCAAATATGATCACGTTTTTGTGAAGGAAGTAGACAACAACAATTAAAGGAATCGTATGTGGAAAATTTTAGCGTTCTTTCCCGACATGAATATGTCAGTTAGTGAATACTAGAGAAAAAACAACGTTTCACGCAAGAGATTGAGATCCGAAGAGAAACAAACATACGAAAACCCTGAAGACGGTCGCAAGGCAGGTCGGGCGAATTGATAAATCTGGTTAGCGCGTTCATTTCTGGGGAATAGAGTCTAAACGATTGGAAGAATAGCATGCAGAAGAAAAGGGAAATGTTAATGCCACCGGCTTGAAAGGCCAAAAAGAATTTTAGTCGGATCCGAGAGCCAAGTAGAATCGCTTCCATCGCCAACATTTGTAACAGAGGCGCCAGTACGGCGTCAGGTTGAACGTGTAACAGACCTGCCAAATTTAAAATTGCTCAGGTGAACGAGTGCCATCTTTTTCGTTTTTCGTTCTTATCTTGAACCGTGTTGTAAAGCCATTGACTTATCGGTGAGAGAGGATCACGTTTTT